CTCTCACGCTACTCTGCCTCTGGAGCAGCTTTGTGACAGCACAATGAAAGGGTGAAAACACTGAAAAACAGGATTCTGCATACACACACATTATATATTCTTACAGATATATGAACTGAAGCAACAAAATATGCTTACCTTAAAGACAATTATGGTTCATAAACTATTAGAAAATAGGTTGGTTTGTGAAATATAGGTAGAGGGTTCAAAGAAGGGTTTGCAAAGGCTCATGAAACTTCTAACAAAACAAATTTGGGGGGGAGCATGCCTGATTAGGGCAGACATAGACTGTTTTGCTGGGGAAGGTGCAAAGCTTCCTCAAAGGGGCCATGGCTCAAGAAAAGGTTGAAACGCTGCAATTCCTACCTCTGTGTCCCAGGAATCGTGAAAGACGGGGTTTCTGCTACTCCTTTTGGTCTGTGGGGGGAGGTGGTGGTCCTCTTCACTGCCATTCCTTCTCCTTTTCCTGAAATTAAATTACGAGGAGAAAAAAAAAAATCAACCATTCACCCTTCAGACACTTAAAATTGTAAACCATAACATATAAATTTGCCCTCTTGCCTGAAAAAATATAATTCAGCCTATGATACCCCCATAGGTTAAAATTGGAAGCACACCATCACTAGGCACACTAAGAGCAAAAACATAAAATAGCAGCATAAGGTGGGGCTGAAATTGGTGTGACTGATTTTGCAAAAGAAGCTTTTTAAATGCCTACTGTGAATAAATAAGAGCAGGAAGACAGTAATAATTGAGCTTTTTAAATTCCACCTTATTAAGGTTATGGTCTTTCTACATTTCCTGAAATTCTAATTCCAAGTTACTTCATTTTGCTCCCTTCCATGTGACAATGCCTATTGTACCCTTAAAATCCATAAGAAAATGGTGCTACCCAGGAATATCCATGGACATTCATGGTAGCCGCTAATCTTTAGTTCTTCATCCCTGATTTTCTCCCAACTGCCACATTAAACAAAAGCTCTATGCCCTCCAAAGTATTAAATTACTTTTCTGGACAAACCCTGGAAAAGCTGCTCTTGAACACAGACTTGATTATTCTGGCGATAGCACCTAGTGTTATGGTATAAATTACTTGACCAGATTGTTTCTTTGAGACTATGGCATAAGCTGCTTAAAAAGTACAAATTTAAAGAAAAATCAGACACCTTTCTCAGTTCCGTGTGTTCTAAGATGTGCAACCAAGACAAAATTTGTATGTTTTCTATGCAAGAACCAAGTGTTGTCAGAAGAACTTCCAAACCCCAGTTAGAAAAGAAAAATAAATTATGGGAGGTATAATTTTAAGTCAAATTGCTTGGAACTGTGCTGTCCAATATGGTAGCTACTAGCATATGTGGTTATTTAATTTTAATTCATGACAATTAAATACAATTAAAAATCCAGTCCCTAAGTCACACTAGCCACATTTCAGCTAGCGGCAACTGCACTGAACAGCACAGACAGAGCAGGTTCCCATCGCTGCAGACAATGCCACAGGACAGTGCTGCCTGCAGGCCAAGTTACACAGGACAGTGGCATCTACTGTAGCGCAAACTCTTAAAGATCCAAATTTTTGGAGCTAGAGGAAAAAACAGCTTTTTGGAAAGTACTGAATTGGGGCATATAGTATCTTCGTATGTGAGGAGGGCGGCTTATTGGGACAGGCCCTTCATCCTAAAGTTCTGAGTTGAAGTCTGGACAGCAAAGAAACCTTACCATCCTGCACTCAGTTCCTGCACTCTGCAGCACTCTGAGTCCCTCCAACGTTATGAATGAGTTTGGATTCAGTTTAGGGTAAATAGTGGGTGTGCGGTTCTGATAAAGCATGAACCAACCAACAGGAAGAGGGCTACGCCACTTATCTCATTCTAAGGCTCAGCTGTTTGCAAAGTAAGATCATCACTTCTGCTTCCCTACCTTTCTCCCAGGAGTCTGGGTCAGATCTACACATTATTTTGAAGTACTTAGAAGCTAAAAACTAGATGGATACCAGGTCTTAATAATCATTAAAGATGTTTTTAGCATAGATTTGAGCCAAGAAATTGCTACTTTCATCCTCATCTGACCAGAGAATGTTCACAGGAATATGAAGAAGTTACAGAGCAATGTCCAAAGGAAGCCAGTGGACACCCCAAGAAACTCATGAAACAGCAGTATGTTGGTCCCAAATTCTACTTTTATCAGTGTGACAACAGCTGATTGTGCTTTGGGCTGAGTCACTCTTACCAAACTTAGGAGCCTGACCAAAACTTTCCGATTTCCTCATTTATAATGGGGACTATATCTTCCCAGTGACAAGAATGTGAATGTCAAGAGCCAACAGAGTGTAAGAGCAGAGGATGGGCTGGTTTTGCCGACTTCACTAAACTCTGGGAAGGTCACATGAAACAGCCCCGCCTCATTCATCTTCAGCTGATTGCTCAAAGTGCCAGAATTCTCCGTACCTGGTGGGGGCCCTCTCCTCTGGATGGAACTGGGTTAAGAATGAGCCCTACTTGTTCTTCAATTCACCTTTTTTCTAGACTCTGCAGATTCTGTCCCTGAAACATTCTTCTTTCAACATTATCGTGAATAACTGGAAAGATTACAGCTTCATGCCCACACCTATCCACACAGTCAATCAGATTATAACTTTCCACATTAATGCCATGGACCAGGTTATAATTTTAGCAGCCACCCTGTAATTGATCCTAGCCTCCCTAGCCAACTAGTTAACAGATTATTGTTTAGCATCTACTCCTTCTAAGGATGGCTGGTTCCATCACTTTTCACCATTTCATTTCTCCCTGTCATCTTCTACAGACCGGGCACAGAAGTAACAGAACCCTTCCTTTCTAAAATAACTACACAAATAAATCCCTCAATACGTGGGAGCAAGGATCGGTACTGATTACAGAAAGGGCTGCCTTGCCACACACCCACTCCTCTACCGCCATGCCAGTATGTACACCACCATCTTTGACCAACGCTTCACCTGGAAGCTGAGGAAAGAGACCCAGGGGCACCCAGGGTCGTGAACTAACTCGGAGATACCAAGAGAGCTGGGGCTGGCAGAGCTGGTCCGAGGTGCCCCAGGACTTGGGGTGAAGAGAAAAGTAGGCGAGAAACCCCTGTCCAGGCCTCTGACAGTAACAAGTGACCAGCACAAACATGTCGGCATCACTTGCGTCCCAGAGGAAAGGAAATCTGCCACCAGGATAAAGAAAGACAGTCCTTTGTGCACGGGGTTGGATAAAAGAATCTTTTTGCACGAAATATTTTGACTTTCTCAGACACTTGAGACACCCTGAGAGACGATCCAAAAACCATCAACTGGGTTTGAGAAGGAAAAGACAATGGCAGTCAGACCAAGCCGAGAGCGCAGAAGGGCTCTGTTCCCCACCCCGCCAGGTCAGGGGTCACTGGGCCCCTAACGTCAAATGTATTTAGTCTTATT